TGCACCGAAGGACGATGAATTAGACATTTTGTTGGACCAGAAATTGTTAAAGAAAACTACCAAAATAAGGTCAGTTAAATGAACCGTATTCCTCCTAACTTTAATTCTTTTAAAGGTTTGCTTTTTGTGTTTTGATGTTGAATTCACTTTAACGACAAATTTGGGTGTACTGTTTTTTTTTAGTTTGGGGGTGCGGCTTATATGTTAATGTTCGCGGATTTTTTTTTAAAAAAAAAATGGCAGGTGAGGTTTATAGTCCGGTGCGGCTTATAGTCCGAAAAACATTGATCAAATACTCTCAAACACACCGCATGTAAGAGAATCCAGCCATTGTTTGTTAGTGGAAAGACTTTTCCTGCAAGATTGTTCAAATCTTAAGAGAAGTTGACTTCTGTCTGATTCATGCTGGACTTTCGTTTGGCTCATTAGCACCTCTAGTGTTTGGACATGAAACTGCACCTGCCATCAACACTCTTGGGCAAAAGACAGATGAGTGACAGGACAGGGGCACTTCACGGGGCCAACCAAGTTTCAGCTGGGGTCAATGCCCCTGTGGCCCCGCCCTTAGAACCGCCCCTGCCCAGGTCTAACTYCAGCAGGACTGGGTTCAAAGTTTTTAACTGCAGCTAAATCCTAAATATGTAAACAACTCAGCCACAGCCGAACCACAACTTAAACACATCAAGTTAAAAACAAGCTTTTATTACACACAATTTAAAATAATTTAAGACAAACATCAGGTGACACAGGCATGTTTTACATCCGTTTCCTCTGGGCTTCCTTCCTACATGATCAGAGTTCATCTGCAGATTCTTTAGAGCATTTTTTTAAAATAGAAGATTATGAAATAAAAAAGGAACAGGTGGTCTATTCAAAATGATTAAGCTTCATAGTATTAAGTTCAGTTATGTTTCAGTGATTTTTAACAAGCTTGGTAAAACGTGTCATTTGAAACCAAACCATTAAAATTAAATGAAAACAGTTTCAGTTTGCTCTGACAAACAGTCCATGAGATTCCACAGGTAGGCTCAGCTCCTCGCAGGTGTCCCGTTCAACAGGTAGCCACTGGAAAGAATGCGTAGTATGACTGGAACCAGCAGAACCGGTGCTTCAGACTGAAGAATAGCATCTGCATGACGTTTTTTTCCAGTCACCATGTTTCTAATCAGGTTAGGCTGCCTGTCTGAACGAGTTCCGACCAGGCTGAACGAAACCAAAAGTCTCTGCGTGTCAGTCAACAGTTCGATCCTTCATTTCAACGGAGTGGAATCAAACACTACTTTAGAGACCTGATACTGATTAGAACGATTTCGATTAGGTAGACACTGAGTTTCTGAGAGCCTTTGTTTTAATACCGACTGGAGTCGTCGTAGGAAGTCACATCCATGTCAAAGAAATCCTCCAGTTGCCACTGCAGCGTCTCAAACGTAGGTCGCATTTGTTCGTTCTCTTTCCAACAGCTCATCATGATGCTGTGTAAAACRGTGGGGCAGTTGGGCGGACATGGCATCCTGTGGCCCTTCATGATCCACTGGACTGCCTGATGGTTGGTCATACCTGGAAGAGTCACAGAGAGCATGAGTCCTGGTCTCACAGGAGAGCAGTCTGTGCCACAGACAACAAGTCTCACCTGGATAAGGCATCTGACCGAACGTCATGATCTCATACAACAAAATGCCAAAAGACCAGACGTCAGATTTGATGGTGAACCTGTTGTCATTAAACGCCTCTGGAGCGGTCCACTTTACAGGAAGTTTACCCCCTTTGATCTCATACACACTCTCATATTCTTTCTAGAAACAGAAGAAAAACAACTTGACTCAGAGTTAGTGTAAACATGAAATATAAAGAAATTTACATTAATACTCTGAGACAGAGGTGTCCAATCCTGGTCCTTAAGGACCATTGTTCTGCATGTTTGACTAGTTCCCCTGCTCCAACACACCTGATTCAACGGGTTACCTATTCAAGTTCTGCAGTTAGTCACACATTCCTTCAAATCAGCATGTTGGTGCCATTTGTGAAGTCAGTCAAAAATTACCACCAATATTTTTGTTTTATTTAGCCTTTTATAAGAAAAAAATAACAGATTTATTTTTCAAAGTCAGTTTTTCACCATATGATTCATACATTTATAAATGACAGTTTATAAACTAAATCTTTAGCCTGCAACTTAAATCTTTAGNCAGTCCATTAAATGGACGTTATTAGAGGTTATCCGTCCCATAGAATGGCTTCAGACTGTTCCGACAGTGCCCCCTAGTGGGTTACCAGTACGTTGGAATACAACAATCTGGTACCGCTGGAGACTAGTCTACTTTATCGTAGCCCATGTCATTTTCTCTAATATGAACCTTAGTGGTTTTATGCCTCATATTAACCAGCTGACAGTCTGAAGCCATTCTATGGGACTGATAACGGTTAATAACGTCCATTTAATGGATGATAACATCCGAATCAGGTGTCTTCTGAGACTATTCAGCTGCTGAAACAATCGTTTTGCACAACCAAAGAATTCCTGCACAAACTGTCAGAAACATCWCAGGGAAGCTCTTCTGCATGCTCATCGTCCTCATYRGGGTCTCGACCGGACTGCAGTTTRTCATCGTAACTGACTTGAGTGGGCAAATGTTCACATTTGATGTTGTCTGGCACATTGGAGAGGTGCGCTCTTCACGGATGAATCCTGGTTTTTACTATTCGGGCAGACGGCGTGTGTGGCATCGTGTGAGTAAACGGTTTGCTGATGYCAACTTTGTGGATCAAGCAGACTGGGGCTGCGGGGTTTTGTGAAAGATAATAGACCGTTTGGGCGTGTTYGTTTACCTTAATACGTGTTTGTAACCAGCTGAAGGTTTGAATGTGAAAAGAGTTATACAACCACGCAGCGCTGGGCTGGAATGCACRTTTTAATGAGGGTCTCTGCTCTCTCCATGCAKCAGCCACGAAACCAGGAAGTCACTTCATTATAACCATTAGAGGTGGGYGGATCGATACCAAATATCGATATCGATACYAACGCTGGTATTGATATTGARCAATACTCRTGTAAAAAGATCRATACTCAAGCTTTGTTCTTTCCCGCACACACTGACKGCTGCACACRCRAATTTTTCAAAGTCTACTCTCTGTCTGTAGTGCTGCACTGTGTCGCACGTCTTTTGTTGTTGCACACAATACTGGCCCTGTATTTACTTGGTATCGGATCAATACCAAAATTCCCAGTATCGCTCACCTCTAATAACCATCATCTTCAGGAACTGACTCCGCCTATTTTATTGCATCATCGTAAAAGGCCAGCCTAAGGCTGAAAGTCAGGTTTCATACAATTTTCCTGTACTAATGACAAACCATGGTTCATTTAAGTGTTGAATATGTGTTCAGGCACATCTTACCCATTAGTACCTCCTGCCCTGTGTAACCATAATTTATAACTACCCAGACCAGTCTGTACACAAAATCATCAATTTAATCACAAAACAGTTCATAAAATATATCATTATTCACCTAAGAGAAAACTATAAAATGTGTTGTGCCTTTAAAAGTCAGTAGTAAACAACCCCAATAAATTTCTACAGGCAGATCATGGACATCGAACACACGTGCATTTTATTGATGGCATTTTGAATGCACAGATATACTGTGACGAGATCCTGAGGCTAGGGTTGGGTACCGAAGCTCGGTTCCAGTATGGCACAGGGGCGAAGATCAAC